GATCTGGAAAGAATTTATTTGCAAATTATGGTGGAAAATAAGTATTTGGTCAATATCAAAAGTTCATCTCAATACTTTGTTATACATCCTTTGTTGGCAATGACAGAGGTCAAACGTTTCCTGTAAGTCTTCACAAAGTTGGCACACACTGTTGCTGGTATGTTGGCCCATCCTCCATGCAGATCTCCTCTAGAGCAGTGATGTTTTGGGGCTGTCGCTGGGCAACACGGACTTTCAACTCCCTCCAAAGGTTTTCTATGGGGTTCAGATCTGGAGACTGGCTAGGCCACTCCAGGACCTTGAAATGCTTCTTACGAAGCCACTCCTTCGTTGCCCGGGAGGTATGTTTGGGATCATTGTCATGGTGGAAGACCCAGCCACGTTTCATCTTCAATGCCCTTGCTGATGGAAGGAGGTTTGCACTCAAAATCTCACAATACATGGCCCCATTCATTCTGTCCTGTACATGGATCAGTCGTCCTGGTCCCTTTGCGGAGAAACAGCCCCAAAGCATGATGTTGCCACCCCCCATGCTTCACAGTAGGTATGGTGTTCTTTGGATGCAACTCAGCATTCTCTCTCCTCCAAACACGACGAGTTGTGTTTCTACCAAACAGTTCTATTTTGGTTTCATCTGACCATATGACATTCTCCCAGTCCTCTTCTGGATCATCCGGACATGTACTGGCTTAAGCAGCAGGGGACACGTCTGGCACTGCAGGATCTGAGTCCCTGGCGGCGTAGTGTGTTACTGATGGTAGCCTTTGTTACGTTGGTCCCAGCTCTCTGCAGGTCATTCACTAGGTCCCCCCCGTGTGGTCCTGGGATTTTTGCTCACCGTTCTTGTGATCATCTTGACCCCACGGGGTGAGATCTTGCGTGGAGCCCCAGAAAGAGGGAGATTATCAGTGGTCTTGTATGTCTTCCATTTTCTAATTATTGCTCCCACAGTTGATTTGTTCACACCAAGCTGCTTGCCTATTGCAGATTCAGTCTTCCCAGCCTGGTGCAGGTCTACAATTTTGTTTCTGGTGTCCTTCGACAGCTCTTTGGTCTTCACCATAGTGGAGTTTGGAGTGTGACTGTTTGAGGTTGTGGACAGGTGTCTTTTATACTGATAACAAGTTCAAACAGGCGCCATTGATACAGGTAATGAGTGCAGGACAGAGGAGCCTCTTAAAGAAGAAGGTACAGGTCTGTGAGAGCCAGAAATCTTGCTTGTTTGTAGGTGACCAAATACTTATTTTCCTCCATAATTTGCAAATAAATTCTTTCCAGATCAGCCAATGTGATTGTCTGGATTTGTTTTCTCATTTTGTCTCTCATAGTTGAGGTCTACCTATGATGCCAATTACAGGCCTCTCTCAGCTTTTAAGTGGGAGAACTTGTACAATTGGTGGCTGACTAAATACTTTTTTGCCCCACTGTATATAAACTGGAATTTACGTAGCTATAGATGCTATACTAGTAATGACGGCAATCAGTGACTTATAGTGTGACAGCGGCCAATCTGGCGCTAACAGACACTGGCTGTGAGGGACACTGACTGACACTGATGTCCCTAGTTGACACTAATACAGTGATCAGTGATAATACTGTACTAATGACACCAATGGGTGACGATCAGAAGGGCAGTCAAGGGGTTACTGTGTGCCTAATGTGTGTTGCTTTTACTCATAGAATCTGGCTGTCTTTTCTCTCTGACCTCAGAGTTCATTTCAGGGAGAACAAACAGCCAGATGGCTGTTCTGTGTGTTTGTAAAACACAGAACCCTGTGCTGTAATTGGCAACAGCCAATCAGCAGGTATCGTTGGCTGTAACCTGCTGACAAACTCACGCTGTGTCCAATCACAGCACAGACCAGCAGGGGACCCTTGCACAGCCGAAAACCAGGAAGTACACCACAGGTGCACCAGTATCTTGCAGTGCCTGGCAGTAAATGAACCGTAAGCAGGCGGCAAGTGGTTAAAGACTACGTCATCAGAGCGCGACCATCCTTTCTCATGGCAATCTGTCGGCATACAGTTATGAAGCCCGGTTAAATTGCTGATCTGAGCCGAATTTAGAATAGCGGCCCTCACCCGGCTTCATTACCTAGAACAAGGTAATCTCAATTATAAAATATTACGTCTACAATTAGGAACAGAAGGCGGCACAGGATGAACCAGAACTCTGACAGAGGACCAGGATGCCTCAAATGAAGCGGTCAGCCCATGGTACAGCTTCTGGATTCTACTTCTATCAGAAGTATGGATGTTATCCCTAACAACTCTGTGTCATCAGAAAAATCCCCCCATCCAGATAATTCTGCTGCGTACTGCTAGAGAGAGCATGTCTCCCTGAATTAATTATTTTGATATTTACCTTGAGGTCTTTCCATAGAAATTCCTGGTCCAGGAAGCATCCCAACTTGAGGCTGCAAGACTCCTAGGATAGAAGAAAGATTTTAATCTCCGAGATATATTGCAGAATAATAAAATGTATACAATACCTTTAGTGAACAAATGTGTATAGAAATCCTGCGCTAAAAAAGTGCTCCTAATAAACCAACAACCAAAAAAGATTTTTTTCAAATAAAATAATCACTATAGCTTGGCTGCAGCACTTACCAATATTTGAACACATAAAAAAAAAAAAAGTATTTTTTATATATATCTATATATCTCTATCTATATATTTTTATATATATCTATCTATCTATCTATCCACGCACACATACATATATATATATATACACACACACACACACATATATATATATATATATATATATATATATATATATATATATATATATATACACACACACACATATATATATATACACACACATATATATATATATATATATATATATATATATACACACACACACACATATATATACCGTATTTGCCGGCGTATAAGACGACCCCCCTACTTTTCCTGCTAAAATGTAGTGTTTGGGCTATACTCGCCGTATAAGACTACCCCTCTTCCAATGCACACCAGTGGGAGGAATAGTGCCCCATCATTGATGTCAGTGGGAGGAATAGTGCCCCATCATTGGTGTCAGTGGGAGGAATAGTGCCCCATCATTGGTATCAGTGGGGGGAATAGGTGCCCCATCATTGGTATCAGTGGCAGGAATGGTGCCCCATCATTGGTATCAGTGGCAGGAATGGTGCCCCATCGTTGGTGTCAGTGGGAGGAATGGTGTCCCATCGTTGGTGTCATGAGGGGTGGAATAGTGCCCCATCGTTGGTGTCAGTGGGGGGTGGAATAGTGCCCCATCGTTGGTGTCAGTGTGGGGGGGAATAGTGCCCCATCGTTGGTGTCAGTGGGGGGGGGAATATTGCCCCATCGTTGGTGTCAGTGGGGGGGGGGAATAGTGCCCCATCGTTGGTGTCAGTGGGGGGGGGGAATAGTGCCCCATCGTTGGTGTCAGTGGGGGGGGGAATAGTGCCCCATCGTTGGTGTCAGTGGGGGGGGGAATAGTGCCCCATCGTTGGTGTCAGTGGGGGGGGGAATAGTGCCCCATCGTTGGTGTCAGTGTGGGGGGGGGAATAGTGCCCCATCGTTGGTGTCAGTGGGGGGGGGGAATAGTGCCCCATCGTTGGTGTCAGTGGGGGGGGGAATAGTGCCCCATCGTTGGTGTCAGTGGGGGGGGGAATAGTGCCCCATCGTTGGTGTCAGTGGGGGGGAGGAATAGTGCCCCATCGTTGGTGTCAGTGGGAGGAATAGTGCTCCATCATTGGTATCAGTGGAGGAATAGTGCCCCATCATTGGTGTCAGTGGGAGGAATAGTGCCCCATCATTGGTATCAGTGGAGGAATAGTGTCCCATCATATTGTATCAGTGGGAGAATAGTGCCCCATCGTTGTATCAGTGGGAGGAATAGTGCCCCATCGTTGGTATCAGTGGGAGGAATAGTGCCCCATCATTGGTATCAGTGACACCAATGATGGGCACTATTCCTCCCACTGAGACTTGCTGACCCTGTTCTCGTATGGTGCTGCTGCAGCCAGCATATGTGGTTGCAGCAGCACCTCTACACAGAACACTTACCTGCTGCTCCGGGGCACTCAATTTTCGCGGGGGGCTCGGGCTCCGCCCCCTCGCCGGTGATTGGCCGCCTGTGTGCCTTTCCTGAGCTACAGTTCTGGCGGCCAATCACCGGTGAGGAGGCGGAGCCGAGCATAGTCGCACGAACAGCCAGTGGCCGAACTGAAGGAGACGCCGCGCTTCCTGGACCGGATCGTCGTGGGACTGGATCCAGGTAAGAGACATCAGCCCCTGCAAACCCCCTGTACTTAATGCCGTAGCCCCCTAACATGTGTACCGGCGTATAAGACGACCCCCGACTTTTGAGAAGATTTTCAAGGGTCAAAAAGTCGTCTTATACGCCGGCAAATACGGTATATATAACACACACACACGTGTTACGATTTGGCTTGCTGCCTGTTTGTGAGTACATGCAGTTTTATTTTAACCACTTCCAGTCCGGACACTTTCACCCCCTTCCTGTCCAGGCCAATTTTCAGCTTTCAGCGCTATCACACTTTGAATGACAATTGCACGGTCATGCAACACTGTACACATATGAATTTTTTAGCATTTTTTTGAGACAGATAAAGCTTTATTTTGGTGGTATTTATTTACCACTGTGAAATTTTTTTTGCTATGTAAATGAAAAAGTCCAAAAATTTTGAAAAAAAAAAAAAAGTTTTTCTTATAAAATTTTGCAAAATAAATAATATTTCATAATAAATCTTGGCCAAAATTTATGTCGTTATCTTTTTAGTAAAAAAAAAAAAAAAAATTTTTTTTTTACATTTGTTTTTTTTTTCTTTCTTTACATACTGTCACCCTAGCAGTACAGTGTCACCATGGTGCCACTGTACTACTTGTGGGGGGTGATGAAGATAATTTTTTCCTACATCGGTTGCTTTTACACCCATAAAGGCTGGAAAAGCAATCATTTCTCCTCTTTGGCAGCATTCTTGCAGCCATTGAGAAATACTGTGTGAGCTGTGATTGGTCACAGCTTGTCACATGGTACAAGACTGTTGTGAATAGCCCTGTACCATGTGACCTCTGTGATCATTCACAGATTTCACACGTAGTAAGCAATGATGTCACAAGTGACATCTTGTTTACTACTCTGCATGCGATCACCGATTGGCCAAATCAGTGATCACATGATCAGGACCTCGCAGAGAGGTCCCGTACGACGACGATTGGCGTTTCACTGTGTCCTGAGGACACAGCGGCACCAGATGACGGTGCTGCGTGCTCCCAGGGAGCGCACACAAGCAGGGTGCGGGAGGCCATTTATAAACAGCCACCCGACCCCTGCAGTGCCACCGTCCGGCCGCCGTTTATATATACATGGGCCAGACGGGAGGAGGTTAAAGGGATGAGGTGGCAACCCTACACACGCTGCCTAAACAAGACAGGAAGACCCAAGAGAGAGACCAATGGTGACATTGCAAAGCTTTCGGAGTGTCCGGAGGACACACATTGGGCACTGAATCGTGGTACTGTGCGCTCCCAGGGAGCAGGGAGGCCATTTATAAACGGCAACTCCCCCCTGCACTGCCACCGTCCGGCCGTTTATATACATGGGCCAGATGGGAGGTGGTTAATAAAGGGCGTTTACAGTACTTCACCATTTGCATTCTCCTTGAATATGAATGTTTAATACTCGGTTTGTACGGGAGTAAAATTCACTGGTGATTCAAATACTGTCTGAGAGGTGCAAGGGTACCATCCATCTATCCACCCTGGGATTTGTCCCCAAAGTGCTGTTAGACCCCCCTAAAATGTAGGTGGAAGGATCTGGGACGCAGCTGTGTGTCTCGCACGGTAGTTGGAGCCCTTTATGTGGTGTGAAGGAAAATATTATATACAGTGGGGAAAATATTGTAGACCCTTCATTTTTATGCAAGTGGGCAAACTTACAAAATCTGCAGGGGATCAAATCATTGTTTTCTCCACTGTACCTCACTGTGGACTTTAGTCTTCATGGTGGAATATATAGATGTATGAGCGATTTGACATCATGGTTAATAGCATAGCATGCTAGAAAAGCTGGCGTTCAACCATTCATGCTTTGTCTCTGAGGAAAAAGGGCTTGACCCTCGAAAACGCTTGAGTCGTTTTGGACGCTATGAGATTTTTCCATGCCATCAGTTGAGCACTCTAGACCCGAAAATGGTCTCATTTGCATTTCTTGATAGGCTTGTGCATGTCATGCGACTGTGAGCATATCACCTGTTTCACATATAGGGAGAAGTGGGGGGCTCTTGACATCTGCTTAACCATTAGCCGCCCGGCCTATAGCCGTTTGGCGGCCGCAAAAAATGCTCTAGCTTTCCGGGGTGTACGCCATTTGGCGTCCTCCGCACATGCGCAGTTCGTGCGGTTGCATAGCCGCGCAGTGGCGCGATCTGTCACCGGCCATGTACCTCGGACACGGCCGATGACAGATCTGAGTACCAGCCCCCGTTGCCGGTACCATGTGACCTGCTGTGACCAATCACAGCAGGTCACATGACAGTTGTATACAATGGATGGCTTCATTCATGCCATCCATTGTATACTAGTGCCTAGCTGTGAATGGTCACAGCAGGTCACATGCATATGTCATGTGATTAGCTGTGGCCAAATCACATCTAAGCACAAAAAAAAAAAAAAACCTGAATGAATCGATGTCATTCAGGTAAATGCTTGCTTATAGCAAAGTAATTCTTTGCTATAAGCAAATTGTGTAAAAAAAAAAAAAAAAATACTGATCACTTCCCCAAAGTAGTACAATGTTACTATGGTAACATTGTACTACTTTGGTCATAGTAAAATCTTAAAAAAAAAATCTTAAAAAAAAATAAAAAAAAGTAATAAAAAATTAAAAATAATAATAAAAAAAAAATATATATATATATTTGTTTTTTTTTCATACTGTCACCAGTCAGTGTCCCTGTTCACCGCCATGCCAGTTATATGATGACGCTGTACTGCACTAGTGACAGTATGTAAAAAAAAAAAAAAAAAAAATAGTGAAAATTATTTTTTTCATTTTTTCATTTTCCGAAAAATGACAAAAAAAAATACAACTTCAAAAAACTCGCCATTCCTCTTATGAAGTATGTCGGACTGTCTACTCTGCAAGAAAGGGTCATTTGGGGATATCTGTCCTGTCCTGACATTTGGGGGATATCTGTACTGTCCATTGGGGGGACATTTGGGGGATATCTGTACTGTCCTGACATTTGGGGGATATCTGTACTGTCCTGACATTTGGGGGATATCTGTACTGTCCTGACATTTGGGGGATATCTTTCCTGTTCTGACATTTGGGGGATATCTGTACTGTCCTGACATTTGGGGGATATCTTTCCTGTTCTGACATTTGGGGGATATCTGTCCTGTTCTGACATTTGGGGGATATCTGTCCTGTTCTGACATTTGGGGGATATCTGTCCTGTCCTGACATTTGGGGGATATCTGTCCTGTCCTGACATTTGGGGTATCTGTACTGTCCTGTCCTGACATTTGGGGGGTATCAGTACTGTTCTTTGACATATCTGTCCTGTGGACCTCAAGAAATTAGATTGGCCGTCAGTACTTCAGGATTGATCAATATTCAGATCTATACCATAGTTTGTGAACTCTATAACTTTCCTACAAACTAAATAATACATCCTAATTTGGGTTATTTTCACCAAAGACATGTAGCAGAATACATCTCGGCCTAAATTTATGAAGAACAATTATTTATTTGCAAACTGTTATAACAGAAACAAAGAAAAACGTGTTTTTTTCTTCAAAATTTTTGGTCTTTTTTTGTTAATTTAGCAAAAAATAAAAACCCCGGCGGTGATTAAATACCACCAAAAGAAAGCTCTAGTTGTGTGAAGAAAATGATAACATTTTAGTTTGGGTACAATGTTGTATGACCGCGCAATTGTCATTCAAAGTGTGAGAGCGCTGAAATGTGAAAAATGGCCTGGGCAGGAAGGTGTAAAACTGCCCGGTATTGAAATGGTTAAAATTACTATGAGAATTATACAATTCGATTGCCAATTGAAAAGGAGGGTCGCACACCGCTGGTATCATCCACTGACACTGGCAACTGCTGGATCAGAACAGCATGGCAGAACCTTGAGCAGTCTCCAATACAGTTTCTAGGACATGATACTAGCGGTGTGCGGACCTCCTTTTCAGACTTGCATCATCTGCTCCACTCCGGTCTGCACCCGCCCTTCACAGCTCCACTCCGGTCTGCACCCGCCCTTCACAGCTCCACTCCGGTCTGCACCCGCCCTTCACAGCTCCACTGCGGTCTGCACCCCGCCCTTCACAGCTCCAATCCAGTCTACACCCGCCCTTCACAGCTCCACTCCGGTCTGCACCCCCGCCCTTCACAGCTCCACTCCGGTCTGCACCCGCCCTTCACAGCTCCACTCCGGTCTGCACCCGCCCTTCACAGCTCCACTCCGGTCTGCACCCGCCCTTCACAGCTCCACTCCGGTCTGCACCCGCCCTTCACAGCTCCACTCCGGTCTGCACCCGCCCTTCACAGCTCCACTCCGGTCTGCACCCGCCCTTCACAGCTCCACTCCAGTCTACACCCGCCCTTCACAGCTCCAATCCAGTCTACACCCGCCCTTCACAGCTCCACTCCGGTCTGCACCCGCCCTTCACAGCTCCACTCCGGTCTGCACCCGCCCTTCACAGCTCCACTCCGGTCTGCACCCGCCCTTCACAGCTCCACTGCGGTCTGCACCCGCCCTTCACAGCTCCACTGCGGTCTGCACCCGCCGCTTCACAGCTCCAATCCAGTCTACACCCGCCCTTCACAGCTCCACTCCGGTCTGCACCCGCCCTTCACAGCTCCACTCCGGTCTGCACCCGCCCTTCACAGCGCCACTCCGGTCTGCACCCACCCTTCACAGCTCCACTCCGGTCTGCACCCACCCTTCACAGCTCCACTCCAGTCTGCACCCGCCCTTCACAGCTCCACTGCGGTCTGCACCCGCCCTTCACAGCTCCACTGCGGTCTGCACCCGCCCTTCACAGCTCCATCCAGTCTACACCCGCCCTTCACAGCTCCACTCCGGTCTGCACCCGCCCTTCACAGCTCCACTCCGGTCTGCACCCGCCCTTCACAGCTCCACTCCGGTCTGCACCCGCCCTTCACAGCTCCACTCCGGTCTGCACCCGCCCTTCACAGCTCCACTCCGGTCTGCACCCGCCCTTCACAGCTCCACTCCGGTCTGCACCCGCCCTTCACAGCTCCACTCCGGTCTGCACCCGCCCTTCACAGCTCCACTCCGGTCTGCACCCGCCCTTCACAGCTCCACTCCGGTCTGCACCCGCCCTTCACAGCTCCACTCCGGTCTGCACCCGCCCTTCACAGCTCCACTCCGGTCTGCACCCGCCCTTCACAGCTCCACTCCGGTCTGCACCCGCCCTTCACAGCTCCACTCCGGTCTGCACCCGCCCTTCACAGCTCCACTCCGGTCTGCACCCGTCCTTCACCAGCTCCACTCCGGTCTGCACCCGTCCTTCACAGCTCCACTCCGGTCTGCACCCGTCCTTCACAGCTCCACTCCGGTCTGCACCCGCCCTTCACAGCTCCAATCCAGTCTACACCCGCCCTTCACAGCTCCACTCCGGTCTGCACCCGCCCTTCACAGCTCCAATCCAGTCTACAAAACCCGCCCTTCACAGCTCCACTCCCGGTCTGCACCCCGCCCTTCACAGCTCCACTCCGGTCTGCACCCGCCCTTCACAGCTCCAATCCAGTCTACACCCGCCCTTCACAGCTCCACTCCGGTCTGCACCCGCCCTTCACAGCTTACGTCTTACCTTGGTACTAAAACCAGTAATAATGGAATAGAGAGGCAATTATTTAATATGGTAAAGAGTCGATACATTTTTTTTATAATCCTAGATACAACAGGCCCTTTGAGGGCAACCAGAGTGCTGATGCAGCCCGCGATGAAATGGAGTTTTACACCCCTGCAGGTATGGCTTTTTACCCAAGCACAGCATTTCAAAGCTGCAAAGCGTTTTGAACACACACTTGGGGCACCCCTGACTGCATGGTGTCTTATTGAAAAAGGTGAACTAACTCCTTAACTAACCCCTTTGCCACCTGCCCCGACATAGGTTCTGAAGCGAAACGGGTCTTCTGGCATTGATCCAGTACAGAGCAGGCCAAGGCTGTGCGAGTAGTTAAGAAGCTGGGGATGATGGCGTTGTAATTGACATTAGTTTAGGAGCACTAAGGAGGGTGGAATATGGTACGGTTTTTAACCTCTTGCCGTCCGCCTGCTGTTTATAAACGGCAGGGCGGTGGCAGTCCAAGGTCGGGTTGCCGTTCCTAAACGGCACCCGCCTTTTCTAGCTGTGCGCGCTCCCTAGGACGCGCACCACCGCGATCCGGTGTCCGCTGTGTCCTCTGGACACAGTGAAACACCGATCGTCGGACGGGACCTCTGTACGAGGTCCCGGTCATGTGATCACTGATTGGCGAATCAGTGATCACATGCAAAGTAGTAAGCAAGATGTCACTTGTGACATCATTGCTTACTACGTGTGAAATCTGTGAATGATCACAGAGGTCACATGGTACATAGGC